CCCGATTCCTCCATAGCTTTGATATTGTCACAGTTCGAGTTGAGTGTGACTTCCACTTTATTTCAGTTTCAGTAATTTTTTTTTCAAGACGTGATATTGCCAGCTTTTCATGAATTTCTTAATGAATCAATCAGAATTGCAGTCCATCTCACAAGGCTTTGCTCAAGTGTCTGTCCTCTTCCCTGAATCCTATGATGTTATTCGTAATTTTTTAATACTGTGATTCATGACGTCACAAAAGTAACAAAGGAAAGTTTGCCTTAGACGTACAGGAAATTTTGGTAATTAAATAGTAAAAGCACAACCTGATCACAAGTTAACTTTGATAGCGCAGGGTAAGAAGTATCAAAAACAAGAACAAACTAGTTCCTCACTGGAACTATCAGTTGTCCATGCTCAGTGATGTTGGATCACGTGGAAGGGATGTCTGGCGAGGAGCATTGAGCAAATTGGTTGTTCACTACTTAATTTCGATATTTCAATTTGGAAAAATTATTCCATTTGAAGTACTGAGTGGACTTGGTGACACTTGGTAGGAATCTTTCTTATTCACCTGAAATGCCATGTACAAAAATGCACGAGTCTCCATTATCTTCATTAAATGCATTACATCGGATGGAGATGTTCCAAAAATTAAGTGGCATACTTTTCTTTTAAGACACAGTGTATATCGATCTATCAGAGAATATTTCAGGATCACAGCATCGAAGACGAATCCGGAGGCATTCAGGCGAGAGCATACATTAGGGAGGGAGGCGCGGAGGACTGTCTGAAACGTGGCGAGTGTTTGGGGAATAAATGTGGTGTTTCGGGCATCGATACGCTGGGAAGACCCATTCCTGTCGACGTCTCAATAATTTTCGGTGATTTCGTGCCAGAGATGCCCGATCGGCCACGCCGATGAAAATGCAATCATGCAGAGGTGGGGGGTGGATATCCGACCGCTTGAATAAACTTTCCTAAGGAATCTGATCATAGATCGCGAACATGAATGCGTCTATGCACTCCAGAGAACTACCTCTACATATCCACCAGAGAACATTTCAAGGTTTCAGCATTGAAGGCGGATCAGGGGGATCCCTCCTCAAGAAGTCTCTAAGATGATCCGAAGACATTCCTCTCGAGATGTCGGAAGCCGTCTGACTTTGGATGTCCCATAAAGACCTTGGGACAAGTCGTCCAGTTGGGGGACATCCCTGGGATGTCACTAAGCTGTGTGGAAGGGCAATTTTTGAGTTTCACAATAGACTGACAAATCTAATTGCACTCAATCTATGATGAGTCTGCCAGTACACTGGATTTCACAAGAGTAGAAATGGCAGCACTTTTGTCTGTCCTCTTGAAGGATCTCATGCAGGCGTGTTTCGAGAGATGTTTCATGACAGTGTGGGCTCCGCGGCGGACCTCACCAAGGAATGGAAGAGGAGCCACCCCCTCCTGGACACCTCCCACCTCCAAGAGACCTCCCCCGGACCGGGACACGGGGTGGAGGAGAGACCAGAGATGGGGAACCAGAGAGATAAGCAGAGTGTGTGTGATCGTGTGCCTTTGCAAAAACTGTGTGTATGGTATGTCTGAATTTTATAGTGACCTGTAATTATTCCCGTCGTCCCCAACTTATTTTCTTCCCTCCTGCCTGGTGCCTGTAGACTGTATGAGTGAGTTGTATAACGTTCAATATATCCCTCGTCATTGTTGTTGAACATCCTAGTCCTTCCGAATCTCACCGGTACTTATCTATTTGGAGTCAGTTCGTATATAGTAGCGCCCGCATACGTATACGGCGAACACGCGATACCATTCGGCGGCCTCGCCCACAACAGGAACATCAGGAAAAGGCAGAAAGGTTGCTCTTCATCAAGGAGAATCTGAAATAAAGTAGTGCTGATGAATCTTCAATATGGTTTTATGCTGAGATCTCTGAAAATGTCCTATCGACTATCGGCTTCACATATCGGCCAATATCAGAATCGGCAAAATCGTTCAAATCCAGTATCGATCAATCTCTAGTTACTGATCTCGTCGTCGGTTTACCACAGCGTTTCACGTATGTCTGCAGTATTACTAGTTTTAATTTTGGTGTTGCTCTCAAAATGCCATGAAAAAGGTGAGAAAGTTAAAATTATTCTGCGACGCGATCTACTGAACGTAAACGAAAGAGAGACGTTCTGGAGTCTGACAGCCGATGAAAGAGCAGAACGACATGCAAGGAATGCTGTTTCACTGGTTGTTTCCAGAGCCAAGGAAACTGACGACGAGAGGGCAGATAGGCGGGCACGAAATGCTTTGATTAAATTTATATCACCCCTTGTGTGCACGCAGTAGCATGCCCAAGGGGGAAGGGGGGGGGGGGCTTATAACCTCTCCCCTTGGGATATATTTTACAGGTTCAATTCTCAAAAAAAAATTATTTTGGCTTTAAATGTAGGGTGGGTTATCAATTTTTCAAATTTCAACTCCCCATTTGGATTTTCTGAGCACGCTACTCCCCGTGCACGGCTTTTACATTGGTAAATAATATGACTACATGAAAAAGGTAACTTGCAAGATTTTTGGGAACTATTAAATGCTGGCAATTCGTCACTAGAACTTTACGTCTCTTAACTGCATTCAGTTTTTTTTTCCCATTTATGACCATGTTTTATCTTGCGCTGGTTAGATTAAAGCAGTATTAACTTATCACTAGGAGACAAGAGACACCGTTCGAGGGCTCCAGAGACCACTTATAGCACATGGATCGACCATTCGACATCACTGAGGAATGTGCATATGTCTCTCCACGTGCCTTCGTATGACCGGGACGATGACCGTCAATATACGTCCTCGTAGAGATGATAGACTCTAGTTGGGCATGCCTTAGGCCTAACTTTGAGTTCAAGTAGCCCATTATTCGATTACTGTGACTCGATTTGCCAAAAAGGTGGGACTAGGCCTTGCAGATGACAGCCCGAAGGCTGAGCGTAAGCGCCATATGCCTGTTTTCAATGACATTCTGTGGTTGATCTATTTGACATGGGTTTGTCTATTATGTCCCCCCTAGAAGCTAACACTTCTTTATTCTTACCTTAACCATTTATACTTGTCGCATTACTCAGTGAGTAATGAGTATACTCATCACGAGATTTGATGATAAGGGACTAGCGTTTAGTGGAACATTTACGAAGCATACTTTTCCTTGAATAAGAAATGGTTAAATGAAGCTTCATTACATGCATGAGTTGCTGCAGACATATCTTCCCACTTAGCCTGCCACAGCCATGTGGAAACTCACAGTGATTTAGTAGAATTTTGGGGTTCAAGATTCAAGGTTTTGGTTGGAACATTAAGAGGCATTGCTTCCAATATTGACATCCTGAGTTTGAGGTCGAGCACTCATCCAAAATAATTATCGCCTGCCCCCTGAAACCCAGAGTAGTTGCTTTCATTGTCTATCAGAGTAAGGTGACCAGACGTCCCGTTTTAGGTGGGACGGTCCCACTTTCAGACCACATGTCCCAGTGTCCCCCAATGAAATAGGCAGGATGCCCATATGTCCTGCTTTTGGGAAATCTCGAAGAGAGAATGACATGACGGTCGAATTTACTCTCTTGCGAGTTTCAGAACTTATAAAGAATATCACCTCGAGCTAAACCTAGCGAATATCATGATTATGAGTAGCATACCTTCTGTCTTTTTTTTTTATCCATGGCAACTGCATAGATCTATATTGGCAATGCAAATTCGGATTATCGAACAACAAAAAGCCATGCTAGCTTTTGCTAGCAAGCACCTGCTCGTGCACTGCAGACGGTGAGGTCGGCCCCCATGCTATCGTTTACTTTTATATTGCGTGAACAATATGATACCTTTATAGTTGTCAATGAGTCAGGGGAAGCCTCCAGGCTGTGGCCTCCCCTCAGCGAGGAGTCAACTTTCAGGGATCGGACTTGGCTCGTTTTGCGTCAGTCGAGAATGGATCCAATGGTTCTCAGAGATTTCTTTCAGGTATTTGATATCTTAATATATATTTTCAAATTGTATGGGTAAGTGACTCCAGAGAATTTTTGAGGAAGCCGGATCTCCCTCTTGCAAAAAATGGGCCAACCCCCCTGCTCATGATAGTATCTCTTCCGATCTCTCTCCTCCGAGGGGAAGCAGAAAGAGATCTTGAGCAAAAGACCTGAGAGCGAGGCTAGAAAAGGGCAAAGATGGGAGTGAAAGGTGTGGGTCACGTCAGTCACATGTGGCTACTTGCTGCAATAAAATGAAAATGTCACAAAAGCATCCTGCACATGTGACGCTGCTGACATTTTTTCTGAAAACAGAAGGACCACAACTCGGATGAAAGTCATGAATAATGTACAGGTTAAGGAATTTCCAGTTGCTTATCTGCACAGTGAAATCTGGGCTGAATCCCAAAATTAAATCTGTTTTGCTTTAGTTTTGTTTCAAATATTGAATGCGCATGTATCATTTATTGTTTAAATTTTGTTTCCACCATTTAATGAAAACTTTCCCTTCCATTTTCTATGTTCGCGTGTTCGATGTTGTTTTGTGTTTTCCTCTTCTGAAGACTTGATAATGCCTTCTTGCATTCAGAGACACTTGAAAGACAACTCAAAAGAACTTTCCCGAAACTCTCAACCCCCCCCAACTTTAGGGCTGGTGTGGATGCACAATTAAATAATAGTTCTAATTCATGTTTTGGCAATAATAAATACAACTGTCAGTCCAACAAATACATTAATATTCTTTTTTATGAGGCAAGGGAAGTATTTATCGGGCGTCCCACTTTCGCGACACAGAAATCTATTCACCTTATATCAGAGGCATTAGTTGCATGGCCTACTGATAGTAGCATGTTGCAAGGTGCCTCATTTCCTGGAAGGTACAAAATATCCCATCTCTTGGAAGGTGTTTTTTCCTTAATGTGCTTCTCCTTAGAAACTTGCAGGGATGATGCACAGGCTTTATTGTGTGACTTAGAGTGGTTGAACTGAATGAAGTAGTTAGTATAAGTTATGGCAAATGGAGGTGAGAAAGTGATAGAAGAGGTGGAGGACCTGTACGTGGACTTGAATGGGACAATAAGTGCTGATCAACTGGAAAAAGCAGGACCTATCCAAGTGGTAGGAGCAGAAACTAAATCCCCCATTATTCAAATTGGAAATAACTTCTTCCAGGGGAAGTATAAGGAATCCCTTGGTACTCATGTGTTCTTTGAAGAGACTCAACCTCCTCCTTCAACTGATCCTTTGTTTGACCAGGCCCCACGTCAATCCTTGTCCTATTTTACAAAAACAAGTAAGGTATTGGTGTGTGAGCGTATTCTTGTGACTCCAAAGGAGAGCTCTAAGTGAACAAATCCAGAGTATCATTGGAAAACATGCTTCCAATGGAACTGAGAGAACTAAGAGAAGCATTTGTGAGTAATTGTACTGGGACTTCAGCTTGTGAGACTTTTGGAACAGTTTCTGTCTTCCCATTCTCTTTTTTCTTCATTGGACTCCATTTCAATTCCAAGGTTCTGTCTGCTTCTTGGTAAGCTTTTCTTTCTCATGGATTTTGTGATGGGTTCCTTTTTTTGCTTTGTGAAACATAGGTGGCTTTATAGTTTAACCCTTTCAGACCTGGTGTCCATTCCAATGGACATTACATTTGCATTGTGTCTATGGCAATTTCTTATGATTCTCATGACTTTGCTCTCTATATTACACTACAATGGGCATAATTATGCATGGCTCAGTTCCATCAGAAGCCTTCTTTCACCCATTAGTTTTGTAATCTTCAGTTATTTAATTCATTGTTTAATATATAATATATGGTATGATGTGGTAAATTTATACAAAATATAAAAACTACATGTAAAGCATGAAAATTTCAATTACAATCACAAAGAGCTCAAAAATGCAAAAAAGGATATTATTCCAATAGTGACCTTATTTCAGGTCTGAAAGGGTTAAATTAATTTATTAATAGTAAAATTGACTAATTAGCTAAAATACAGGATGTATGATATGGGTCAGAGTGCTTATTTTGAGTATGCATAATTCTTGCAAATAGAAAACTTTCAACCTAAAAAAAAAAGAAAGATAACATTTTTATTGAGAGAATTTTAATATTATATTTTTGAGCCTGCAATTTGTCCTTTCTCTTGTTTTTCCCATGTATTGGGATTGCTACACAAGGAAGCCAATCTGCACTGAGTTCTTCCTGCTGGTGATCCCTTTCCTTCTCATCATCACCACAGAAGTAAACAACTTGCGACAATGGCTCTCCTTTCTTTTTGCTGCTGCTATATTTGATCTATTGTACAATACCAAGCCAAAAAAGACTCTCAGTGAGGAATTTCAGGAATTCCTGAAGCACCCTGCCCCTCAGGTTAGAATGGATGATTTCCATGGCCTCCTTTTCTTGCTTGTGAATTTAAATGTATAAATTTTGGCTTAGTTGTACATGCAGTATTGTTCATGTTTCCAGGGTTCATTGACCTGGGTGACGAACTTGAGAGTTGTGACAAACTTGACAACATGCATTTGCATACTAGCAGTGGATTTCCAAATCTTTCCTCGACGCCTGGCCAAGACAGAAGAGACAGGCTTCAGCCTCATGGATGTTGGGACTGGAGTCTTTGTCCTGGCAAATGCTATTGTGTCCCCCTCTGTCTCATTCTCTGCTTCATCACCTAGTTCCTCTTCCAACAAGTACCGGTATGTCAATATTTTTTGTACTTGTCCATGAATGATAAGTTGAAGTCTACCAATGTCAATGCATTTCATCATTAATTTTCAAAGGGAACTTTCACTACTTTGCTTCACCATTAAAATGGTAAATGTTCGCCCACCTAGAATAATGAAGTTATCGTGACACCTTTAATATCTTCAGGATACATTTGACAAACTTTGTACATGTATTAAGTCTCCCTCTTCTCTATTTTTGTGTAATACAAGATATGCAAGTATTTGGGCCTGCATGCATTCTTCAGTACCAAAGTAATTTAAAATTGCATTTTCCATTCATTTGGGATTTCACTCTTTGGCCCTTATTGGTCAGAAGTTTACTCTCAAATGAAAACGGACTTCTGATAGAATGCTGACGCTCTTGCAGTTTTTCATTTGTGTTGGAACTCAAATGCAACTGATTAAATTTGTATAAGCTCAGCTCTCTTTTGTTCTGAAGTATAAGTCTCATACTTGAAGTTATTTGGCAATTGAAACATGTTCTCTTCTACACCACTGTATGAATACAGTGAGGTTGAATTGAAGCTTTGCTTGGACTGCCAAGGATGTATCTCAAATTGCAAGACCAGTTGTCTGCAATAAACTAAGCACATTGGCTGCCACATGTATCACCAATGATATGATTTGCCTACGTTCAGATTCTGTTCGACAGTGTTATAGAAGCCTTCAATTTGTGTTTCTCATGATAGTGACTTCTCTTGGTTCAGTTCTTATACCCATAATAAACCATTCCAAAAAAAATATATAACCAAGTAGTTTAGAGGCAGCAGGCAGGAAAAACCCTTCTGTCTTTCCTCAATCAACCAATCAATTCATGTAAGGGTGGGTCTTCATATAGTGTATACTAAGTCAAAGGAAACAAAGAGACCTTTCCAATGATGCAGAATTCATTATGATCAGTGCACAAAATTTTGAGTAAAGAACAAGAAAAGAGTGCATAATACTCAAGAGGAGTGCTCAGTTATTTTTTTTTAATTGTGATTGAAGGCTGCCCTGCATATTTTATTTTTATTTTCTAAGCATGCCTCTGTCTTTTCAGAATATGGAAGGTAATGAAAAGCTCTGCTATCCTATTGGCCTTGGGCTTTGTGAGATTTCTGACAACAGAAGCCATTGACTATCAGAAACATGTTACAGAATATGGTGTCCACTGGAATTTCTTCTTCACCCTTGCAGCTGTGAAGGTGAGTTTAACTATGATCTTATCGTTGATATCACCAGCAACTATACCCAAGCAAAGCAGTTTCAGACCTATATAAAACAATTCCCTAGGTACTGGTACTTCTTTTTTCAACCATCGCACGTGGAAATTCTGTATATGACATGGTGTATGATTTTATATGGCCATGTTTGAATGGGCCAGAGGGGTAGGGCAGCTGGGGGAGGAGTCCTCAAACCCCACCCAAGTGATATTGGGGGAGAAAAATCATACCTCCAAGGGGGTACCAAGCTTCATCCCAGGGTATGCCAGGGGGGAAGGGGGTGGCATCTGCACTCCCTGCTGCCACTACATCAGGTTTTTACATGAAGGCCATGACCTTCTGATGCCTCTGCAAGTAATATTTTATTTACCCATTACATTGTACTTGAAAAATTAGTTATGTATAGCCTTTAAAGTAACTTCCCAAAATATTTATTTAAAACCCCTACCCTCCCTGGACAGCAAAAGTGTATCAGGGATGAAAAAAGTGGGGGGGGGGGGGGGGGGGGGGGAAACCCTAGGGGGGNGGGGGGGGGGAGGGGGGGGGGGGGGGGGGGGGGGGGGGGGGGGGGGGGCATGGAAACTCTAGGGCAGTAGTGCATAAACTTTTCAGTTCCCTTTTTTCATCCATGTATTCAGTTGCATCCCTCTATTCCCCTCCCTCCCCCCTCCACTGGTTCCATTTCATCAGGAACTGACTGAAATTTCAAGAAAGTTGGCATGAGAAAGGAAAAATGAATATATGGATTATGTACCCTTTTAGGATGTGAGTATTTGTCAGGCATTCTCACCATACATAGACATGTTTAACTTCATATATGGACAAGATGTGACATGGCATATATGGTGCAATTGTATGAGCCAATGTATGAAAATATATGGGGCCATATATTTTCACTTATATGATTTTATGTGACTTGTGTCAAACCCCATATATGTTTCATTTATGTTCATATAGGAATTGCACTATATGTTCATATATGCCCCATACATGTTAGACTGGCTAAATATATGACCATTTCATATATGGTCTTATATGAAATTTTCACGTGGGATGTCTCCTGGATTTTATTTTTTAATGAGTCATGACTACAAAATGTGAATATATGCAAATGCAATTTAAAATAAAGAAGGAGAATGAGGAAAGTGAAGCATTACTTCAGGCATGGTCTATAGCTCACAAGCTATTAATGTAATATTCAGTGGTATGAAATGTTAAGTAATTTTGAGACAATTTAAAATTTTCAAATGCACTGACAATTTACAACATATCTTGAAACTAGAGGATGAATCCACTTTTTCCACAATGAGTGGTCAAAAAACATGAAGAACATGCAAAGACTTCAGGTGAACATGCTACCCAAATTTGAAGATGATAGCAATACCATCTCTGCCAGAAGTGAATGGAAGGTCTTGGATACAGGGTGATTCATCAGTTTACTGTACTTAATTTACATTCACAGAGAGAAGGATATACTGTATTTTCTCATGTATAAGGTGCATTTTTTCCACATATTTTATTGTGTTCAACAAGGGGGTGCATCTTATACTTGGGGGGAAAAAATTCTCTTTTTCGAAAAAAATTTTTCAGCATATCTATAACTAATTGGTCAAAATGAGGCAGAAATAGTATCTAGTCAGTCAGAACAGGGGAAATATATAATAATAATAAAACAATAAACATGGAGTGGCTACATCAATTCATGAACTTCATTCTGTATCGGAACCAGAATCTGAGGTGTCTGGCAGCATGGATAATTAATTTGCTGAGCTCTCATCCTCCTCTGAGGGGCCATTCCAGAGAATCGTTTCTCATGGAAATTTTTGAGCTGCTGAGGTTTTCCGATGAAGAGAAAATCCAACTTGCTTCATAAATTATGCCATTCACCTTCATATGATGCATTGAATTTTTGATGGGAGATCCCATTTGCTCTTGCAATTGTATGGGTTTACAGCTCGATCACTTTACTTTTTTTTTAGTAGTTTTATGCATAGACCATCCCCTGCATAGACCAGAGCCAGGCTTGATTTCGTCTTCACCTCAATGTGCTTCCATATACAGCTTTCCTTGATGTCGTACTTACGACCTATTGCACTCCTTCGCTTCCTGAATCACATTGATTTCTCTGCAGCTGTGTAACTTTGTTGTACATTTCCATCCATTTTCACATAATAAAACAAACATTAGGGATATTGTGTCCCCCCTTGATAAAGTTCAGGACAGTGAATAAGAAAATAGGTTTGACCAACCTCACAACTGGTTTTATCCCTTATTTATCTCACTTTTTCAACACTTTTTGCTACAAAATAGGGGGATGCACCTTATACACTGGGAATCTTTTTAATTTTTAATTTTTACACAATATCAATTTTTACAATTTTTGGGACTTCAAAAGTGGGGTGCTTCTTATACATGGTGGCACACTATACTCAAGTAAATATGGTACCTCCACAAGATTTTGCTGTTTTAGTTCCTGAGATGTTCAAAATACTTTTGAGTTTTCAGTGAACCAGCATCTCTCCAGGACAGAGCAACACACGTTATTCAACAATCCTGTGAAAATGATGCTGACTTCTTTGTTAATCGATGCCTTCACATCTCTAATGCTTGTAGTTTCCTTGCATACAGGGACTTCAGGCATACTCCCACAGAAAGAAGTCTGGTGACCCTAGGGGTTACCCAATAGGGTCCCATTGACCTATCCATTTACCCTAAAATTCAGCAACTAAACACAAACGCACTTGTCCATTGAAGTGTGGCACCATATTGTTCAAAGAGTTTGTCATATCCCTATCCTGCAACATATGACAAGAACACATCAAGTAGGATAGTTACATTTTGTGCTTCATTTTCCCTCACACTCAGAAGTAATGTGAAGCAACGGGAGGTTTTGTTTGGAATGTTCTTTTGAAATCTATATAGTTGCGGCTGCCAAGCGTTTTCCTTTTCCTTTATGGCCACAGCCATGGTTCATAGCATGCCTTAAAATATCAATTTAAATTCATGAAACAAGCTGAGCTAATGAAGATTTCCAGAGAATGGTTTATTTTTCACTTCAATTTACCCCATTTTGCCGTATTGAATATTATTTCAGAACTAAAACATTAAAATAAAGTAAATACAAAGTTAATGATAGAAATTATCCTGAAGTGTACTTTTTGAATACAGGAGACTGAAGGCATGCCCAATCAATGAGGTATATTCAATTGTAAATAGTTTATATCCTTCATCAGATGATATCAGAGGTTGTGATGATACTGATGGGGAGAGAGCATGGGCTGAGTGTGGGCCTCATGGTGCTTCTCCTCTATGAGGCATCACTGCAACTATTTGGACTCCAGCAGTGGATTTTGGGATCCAGCCACAGACAAGGAATCATAAGTGCCAATCGAGAAGGTCTTGCTTCTCTCTGTGGATACCTGGGTCTGGCTCTCCTGGGTACCCGAATTGGAGCATGGGCCTTTCAGTATAGGTTAGTTCCTAGCTTTATACAAATTTGATAAGTTATATAGTCATTTACATCAGTATAGCACAACTTTTGAACTTAATTCTGCAAGACCCTGAGATGAGACTGAGTTCCATGGATGTGAAGAAATCACAGGCCCCTTATATCTTGTACCCAAGTCCACCCTTATAACTCCAATCCTCCAGAAAATCAGTCAGAACCCTTTTTTTCTTCTTGGGATTGTACATGGAGTGAAATACGAAGGCTAAGCAAATGAGGGTCTTGCAGAATTAAGTTCAATTGCCCAGGTCTTGTTCGGAATATCATTGTTATGATTAAGTTTTCAGAACCTTGTTCTCCTTATCTCTAGACGCTTACTATCCTGCAAATTCTTTTGAATTAATTCAGAATAATTTTTTTTTGCTCCACCTTTTATTGTGCTGCTATCATGAGTTGTGAGAGGTTATGATGCAAAGTTGCACATGGAGAGACATGAGTGAGGTGCATACCAGAATTGCTAGTGGCCTATGTGGGAATTTAGCCTTGTAAGTAGTGTTTATCTTTTGTAAGGTATCTTAAAATTCAGCATTTTCTCTCAACTTACTCAGGTCATATTTTTTGCATTTTTCCCTCCCATCCCTAGGTTTCCAGCAAAATTCCACTCCTAAAGACAAAAGTTTGGAATTGCATATCTATGACTCAGTTTTTATAGAGTACCATTAAGCTCCCCCCCCCAATGAACTGCTCACTTTCTCCTTTATTCCAGCCCTGATGGCATTAAATCACCTAAGAGTGCTTTGAGCATCCTTTAGGCTTATGGTTCTCACAGTATTCTCATGCAAGATTACTCCTGATCTTTGAAGAAAGGTTATTGAATATCTCCAGAAAAGACCGGCTGGAAGAGTTGCTGTCTCTTATGAAGCTCTCACTTGTGACAGTGAGCTTGGGCTTCCTTCTTTTCTTCTTGCACACCACAGAGATCTCCATTGTTTCAAGAAGACTTGCCAACCTCTCCTATTGTCTCTGGATTGTAAGTGTGCTTCCTGTATTTTTCTCATTTCAGGGCATTAATTATCTACCTTCCTGTTCTTTTGCTGATAGACATAAATTGGAGATTCTTGATGTTAAACCAAGGCTTCTACCATTGGGTTCTATTATGTGCTGGAAAATTGCCCTTTATGATTGAAGTGCAATTGTTTGTCTTTCCCTTAGGTGGTATTCTACACATCTTACTTGTGTCTGCTTTGGAGTGTCGACATACTTCTGGCCTTCTGTGATCTTCTTCATGGTCAGTATCTTATTCCTCTCATAATTTCTCATGATTTTCCAACATGGATGTCTTGTTCTAGGTGACATGGACTTGGGGAGAGGGTGATTCTTTCACCTGCAAAATCCAATAATCCAAATTGCATTTTTCAGGGTGATTCATTAATACTGTTGTGTCAAATAATGTACCTGTATTACTTGAGCTAGATACAAGTGGAAACAGACTTGTATTAATATGAGCCTAGGCCTCTGTGTGTTTACCCATACCAATGACAACTTCTAATTCACTCTTCAATTTGTGTACCCTAACTATCCATTTAGCAATGATAAAGGCAAAAGAAGCACCTTGGAAGATTTCAGTACTCCTTGAAATTGCCTCAATCTCCTATGCAAGTAACTGCCTGGCATAAATGATATTCTAGATGGTATGGGGATAGATATGATAACATTATTACTGTATATATTTTATAACATGCAGTATAAAATGTAAACGGAATTATTCGTCACCCTGTGCAATAATTATAAGTGCTGCTGTTCTACCCTATCGTCTGATCAAATACCATCTTGCTTGTGGCTTTTTTTTTTCTAAGAATTTCAAATGTAATACCAAAATATGGCCCTTAACCCTGATTCAGGAAATTGTTCATATGCTTCATAGGTTTTTTTTCATTATGAAAAAAGCTTAAGAATTCAATTGCTCTGTCTATCTCAAGGCATTAGAGTCAAGCAGGTTGATTGTTAGAAGAAGGAGTAAGCATGACCCTTTCCTATGAAATTTATCCTAAGGGCTTCATAAAGAAAGCATGATGCATTGACATTTTTGAGCTATTTGATATAATGTTACTAGACCATAAAATAGTAATCATTTGGTTGGAACCCATATGAAGCTGTAGGCTTTACAGAATAGCAAAGACAGCTTTTACTTATTCTTCAACAAGTTCTTGTTGTCTTGGATTAGGGAAATCAAGCCAAAGTTCCAGGAGGGACTCAGACATAAAAATGTTTCATCATTCAGAACTATTTTATGTTGTTTTTGCAATTGTATCCCACACTTACCCCATTAAAATTAGGCCATGAAGGTGGGACAGTTCTATGGTAAATGAGTCATGTGCTCAGGTTATCTTCCATGGGTCTGCTTTCAGTCGGGGCTTTTGAAATTGAAGATGCAATCAAGTTTAGATTCTGATTGGGTTCATTTGAGCTGAGTTTGCATTAGGCTTGAGTTCCAGAATTCAAAAGAAATAAAGTTCAGATTCAGTTCCCTTTTTGCTGCAATTGGGTTTCCCTCAAAGAAAGTTATCACTGTCATTGTTATAGGCCTTATAATATTCTAGAAGTTTGCCTAAGTACACAATTTGGAAAAGATAATCCTTTTTTCAAGCTTTAATATACATACTACTATATTAAGAACAAAAAATCTCAATGTGATGCTATACAATAAGCCACATTTGCCTTCATGTGTTAAATCCTTCACTCCGCATGTGCCCAATTGGCTTAAGGGGCTGAAAAGATTTTATTATTTCATGCTTAATATTCATTCATGAGGCACTTTTACTGAATCCACCCAGACATTCTTCACTCAATTTTAGTCATGGCAATCAATTAATCCTCTAATTACCATTAAATATTGTCATGAAATGAATTCTGATATTAGAGGTTGAGTCATATACATTCACAGGTGCTAAAACGACTTCATGAACTCATTTTCCTAGCATTTTATGGTTATAGGGAAAGGAGGAGGAAGGGGTGGGAGGAGACACATGCCCTGGTTGATAGAGGCCATGAATGGAAATGCCCTGCTCATGTTCCTCTGGGGAAATCTCCTCACTGGTCTGGTGAACTTAACCATGAACACAATGGAAGTCCCACCTGGTATTTCCTTGCTCATCCTAACACTTTATTCCCTCCTTATCTGTCTTCTTCCTGCCATCCTTTTCCACTTCCACATCAAACTCAAATTTTGGTAACTCCTGAAACTCAATATATGAGTCTTGACATTCATATTGTCATGAAACAAACTCATATTCAGTCATGGCTAATGTGCAGAAATACATTTTCTGAGGTATTGGTATCCCACTCAATGGAAAGTATATTGATATGCAGTAGCTGCATCATCATTTGATTGCAAATATTTTACTTAATTGGCTTGAAAGAAACATCTCAGACTCCTTTGTCTGCCAATGTTGTGAATTTTGTTTCATTTCATTCTTGCACTGCACAGAAGGAAGGGAGCTAACTCAGTGCTGTATTGTCTTGGAACTACTGTGATGTTTTGAATAAAGTTTTATTCATCTCACTTGTTCGTAATTTTTTGGACAATTTATGAATCATATTTGTTTAGCTTTTCTCCAATTAACTTTTTTGCAGAAAAATTACATCTGCTGGACTCTAGATTCCGATCTTACTGCATGTTTAAAGTACCATTCCTCAGGGCATTCCTCTATTAGAAGTCAATTCATGTACTTATGAAATATTATATAAGTGGAATGAGCCACTTAGTTCTAGAAAGGGAGCCTGCAGTACCAATATCCAATTTTTAGTCATGAACTTAACTAGGATTTTCCCTGTGAGCAAAGGCACTGTGTAGTCAGAAATGACTGACCTGTAACATTTTGCTCTTCACCTGGAAGTTCAGAGTCCTTGATCAGACAGAGCATATACCTTGTGCACAAGGAAAAAGCTCCATGACTGATTGTAGCTCTGGCTAATTCATACCACTATTGTGAATGGGCAAAATCCTATCTCCATGAAGCTGCATTCAATTGGTTTAGTGAGGAAAAGAAAGGGAAAGTTAGAAGAAAAGCCCTATTGCAGTGACAGAAATTACATCAAGGAAAAAAGGGATTGAGCAATTGATGATTTGATCCTATGTCTCAAATCTGTTGTTTGCCTACTCATGAGTATTCTATTTTCTGGTATTAAGTAAACCTGTCTCACCTGGACTCGAATGAGGCTTTTTGGTGTGGCTACCCTTGGCAAATGCATTTAACATTTGCCTGAGCTCCAGCTCTGTCTGGCTCTTTGAAGGGTGATTTCCCATTTGCAAGACTTGGCTGAGTTTTTGGTGAATTTACAAGGATTATCATCAGTAGGGGAGAAACCCAGAAATCCTTAACCTGTCAAGATTCATAAGTTCAAGTTCTTTTTCAAGTTCTTTGGCAATTGATCATGGGTCATATTAAGTACTGTCTGATGTGAACAGTGTAAGAACTCTCTTCAGCTGCTCAAGGAAATCTTGATTTAAAAGAGGCAGAAAATCTCCACGTTTTCTTTTTGTCTTCACTAATCAGTCTTCAGTTTCATGGAAATTGTGAATGAAGAAATAGGAACCTCTTATGTCAATCTTGTTATCACCTACTGTGATTCTTGACTTGTCCAGATCTTCAACTCAAATCAACATGTCTCTCATTGAAGCATGGTGATTGTGGTTTTGATCTTGGATCAGAAGTAGAAGAAATCATCAGTGATGGAAGGAAAGAGGATTGAAAAGTTAGAGGAATCAGTTATAAATCGCATTGCTGCAGGAGAAGTCATCCAGCGACCTTCGAATGCCATCAAAGAAATGATTGAAAACAGGTTTCTTTTCATCTCCATTTTCTGCATTACTTTATGAAAAGCTTTTCCAGTTAATGCTTAACTGTTTGTGTCATTCTTGAGCTTGGATGCAGGGTCGACCAGCATCCAGGTGACGGTGAAGTCAGGGGGTTTAAAAATGATTCAGATAGTGGACAATGGACATGGAATTACTGTGGAAGACCTGGAGATAGTTTGTCATCGCTTCACTACCAGCAAGCTGAGGGAATTCTCTGATCTTAGCACAATTTCAACCTATGGGTTTCGTGGGGAAGCCCTGGCCAGCATCTCCCATGTTGCACATCTCACTATCACCACTCGCACTGCAAAGGATCAATGTGCTTTCAGGTCTCCATTCTCAGTTCCTACTATGCTCCTTTCTTGTTTTTTCTTCTTCATTTGTTTGCCTTTGATCATTTACTTGCTCAATGTGCATTTGATGCAATCATTCCTTGGCATCAGAACAATATCTTCCATGAATAATGTTTTAGAGTAAAATTTTAAATATTTTTTACCTAAAATTGAATGCAAGCAAAATCATGAAATTATTTGTTCATGGACATTGCATTCAATTGGTATTTTCCAATATTCATCAGATCCACAGGCATTTGTGATGATTTCTTAATTCTTGCATTCTAAGAACTACACTTTCTTTAGAAACTTTTCCTATATTACCAACATCATATTGCTGTAGGTATCACAAAGCTGAATTCTATTCTCTAAAATATTATGCATCTTCATAATAGAGTTGTAACATTTGTGATATTTTCTGCCATTATCAGCTTCTATTTTTTACTCTGATTCTTGTCTTATCTTTTGACTGTCACTGGTTTATTATGCCAAACTTTGATGAGTATGATTTTCATTCTTATTTATGAACTTCATATAGGGCAGTCTATGTAAATGGAGAGCTACAGGGAGTGCCAAAAGTGTGTGCAGGAAATGTGGGAACTCAGATCCTGGTTGAGGATCTGTTTTTCAACATGAGTCAAAGAAAGAATGTTTTGAAGAGTCCAACTGAGGAATATGCCCGCATTGCAGATGTGATCACAAGATATGCCATCCATCATGCTCGAGCTGGCTTCTCATTGAAGAAACATGGGGAATCATCGACAGACATCCGCACTGCACCTGGCTCAACACCCCTCGACAACATTCAGACCCTTTATGGGAAAAGTGTGGCCAGGGACTTGTTGGCTCTCTCATTTGTTAACAAAGAGCTGGACCTGAAGGCAACTGGATATGTGTCTAAGCCCAGCTTTTCCTCCAAGCGTTTTACCTTCCTCCTGTTCATCAATCATCGTCTTGTTGACTGCTCAAGTAAGGAGATCACAACTGTGTAACGGATGGCTTCCTGCTACATTACCTTCCATCTTAACTTGTTGGCTTCAAGTTGGCTTCAACTGGCAATACATGCAGCAAAACATCATTACTTAGTACATATTGGTGCTGCATATATCATTTGTGATCACTCATGATCATGGCAGTTCTGAGTCCACTTGGTTGCCTACTTGCTACAAATGTTTGAATAACTTCAAAAGTGCCAAAGAGACTGGGGACATTTGGCATCTGAGGCACAATTCTGGAATTTTTGTTTGTCAGCCAACATGTTGAACACACTAGAAATGTTACCCTTCTCAAACACTAGAAAGAGTCCATCATGATTGGAACTGTACTTAATACTGTCACATCTTACCATCTGAATGCCAATAATATGGTGCTCTCTGTAAAACCCATTGCTTCCCCATGTACTAATATAGGAGCATGAAAGAAAATTCATCTTTATTCATGCATAGGAATACAAAGTAACAAAATGTGAGGCTCATAATGCAGATTTGTGAAATTCAGTAGAAAAATTGAATTAGAATAAATTGTTTAATTAGGACAAAATAAACAGTCTCAACAGTAGAACCTATATACATTTTTTCCTTTAAAATTTGTGCTTTGATATTTTGTTTATACTCTCCCCTCATTTTAGGAACAAGAAAAGCAAATTAGAACCTTTCCTCTCTTCTCTGTATCTGCCCCACTTGGCTGGAGTCAGAATGGCAGGAAAAAAATAATCTCATATGGGTGTTACCTATACAAGGATATGCCTTCCGCAACAGCATGAGCTCCTATCTAATTACTCCCTCTCCCATCCTGCAGCCAACTTTACTTTTCCCTTGATCCACCTTTGTTGCTTTTGCCATGGAGATCTTTCTACTTACCATTTGCTTCAATGAGGAATTAAACAGTAGGGGAAAACGGGACCAACACAACATTTGATATCCTAACATATTTCAACTGCACTTGCTGAGTTGGAGGATCAAACAGCACCTGCTATCCTTGAAGAACATTTTCCAAAAACTTTATCATGGGCATAAAGCAAAGTAAAAAACAACTAATAACTTCAGTGTAATCATTTCCAAGAATAGACTTTTCCATAGAAATAGATTTTTCCATGAAAAAAAACCATGATCAAAGGCAAATGTATTGTTCAGATCCTTGAAGTATGGATTAGCAATATTGGTAATATTTTTAGAATTGCTGCATTAAATGACCTGATGTTCTCTGGCCAAATCTGGCTAGGAAAACCCTAGTGAACCTGTGAACAAGGTTTGCAGAAACAGAGATGTGTAGGGCGGCCCACTTAGTCCACTTCCATGTTCTTCCTGGGAAATTTCAAATTTTCACCTCAGGTTCACTTGAAAAAAATTTTTTCCTACACTGGGCAAAATAGGCCACTTATCTCACTTCATATTGTTTCATGATGACAAAGGGAGGACCAGTTACAGAGGTGTTACATTACCAGTAGTATCAGATTTTTTTATATAATTGGATATCAGTTTTTGCCATGTTTCTCTTCTCATTATGCTGCCACTTTAAAATTGAATCTGTGACTATATTGATAGCATTCAACAAACAATATTAACTTCATAATGATTCTTGTGCACTCTTTCTAATTGAAGTATCATATTGCTATGATACTAAAGATAGCAGTGTGTTAATTGAGTCTCAAAATTGACTCAGAAATGATTCCCTGCTAGGGTTCCCCACAAACTAAACAATCCTGTTGAGCCAATATCCTTCCCTTCCCATATCATCCTCCTATTGCCCATCCCTGTCTCAAGTTTGACAGCTTCTTACGGCAGCATCCGCATCTTATCCTGTCATTCCTACTTCCTTTCTGTCTTCATGGGAACAGAGGATGAAAGGCAGAGACACAAAGACTCCATTCAGAATCCTCATTATTATCTGCCCTCCTGTTTCACATCTGAGCTTACTTTCACCACTGTTTAACCCACTTGAATAATTTTCTTGGGAGAACCCTGGCAGGACTTTCAAAACTTTTAAAATCAGGTATTGGTTTCTTATTGAAAAAATTAATGCTGGTCCTTGCAGCCCTGAAAAAGGCAATTGAGGGGATATATTCTGGGTTCCTTGGCAAAGGGTCCTACCCATGGGTCTACCTGAGCCTGGACCTAAAACCAGAGAACCTGGATGTCAATGTTCACCCAACCAAGAGTGAGGTCATTTTCCTTCATCAAGAGAAGATTATTCAACAAGTTGAACAGACCATTGACACTCTCCTCATGGGCTCTGGCTCCAGTCAGACATATTATGCACAGGTAGACTATTCTTGTTATCAGGAAGAACAAGCAAAATTCCAGAGAATTATCTTGATCTCCTCTCTTCTACCTAGACCCTCCTACCTATCCCTGGAGAAGCCCTAAAAGGAGATATCATGAAGGCAGGTTCCAGTGAAGAAGACAGTTTCAAAAAGCAGAAACCAAATGCTCATGAATTGGTGCGCATGGACAGTCGCTTGCAGAAGCTAGATAAGTTCTTTGCTGAACCCTCCAACAAAACTGCAGATACCAGCTCAATAGCTGCAGATGTAGCTCAGATGAGTTCTCCAAATTTGAGCCAAGCAGCTTCATCAGTGACCACTGAGAAACGAGAGCAAATGTCTCGTAAGACAGCTGGGGGAGGATACATAGGGTTTGTTCAAGACTATTCAGCTGATACATTCAATTGTGACCTGAATTGTATATGCACAGTGCATTCAATGCACTATTACAAGTCAAATCACAGCTACATTCATGTTATGATAGTTTTTCTCTCATAGATATGGATGCCATGATAGTTGTTTTGCAATGATTTCCTTCCTCCAGGAGAGACTTGCGGCTGGGAAGCATTGCATCCTTGCGGAGACAGGTGGAAGAGCGCTCTCATGCTGGGATACGAGCCATGCTCCATGATCTCACATTTGTTAGCTCCATTGATGAATCTCTCACTCTCATTCAACACTCCACCAAGCTGCTCATTGCCAACACACGTAGGCTCAGGTAGGAGGACATACTGTGTCAGGGTTTCTGCTGACTTGGAAAATCAGTGAAAATCAAGGAATATTTGGAGTCAAAAGAAAAATTAGGGATGAAATGTATTCATTCAATATTAGTGAAAATATATGCTTATTTCTTAGAAAAAGTAACTTGTGAGGTAAAGTATCTTTGGAGAGCCTTTCATTTTTCCTCTTAGCTGCCATAAGCTTTTTCCTGCCATTGGATTTGCTTTTGCTGCCATGATTATTATTAGCGATTCTGTGATTCCATATTAATCTCATATGCATTTTATAGCAGACTGGAGATTTCCTAATGTGGTAAGAGGCACATTAAAATTAAAGTTTTCCTCTTACTCTTTATTTATTTTTTAACACTTTCCAGACAGTTTCTAAGTGATTGCACATTACATGCTTTAACTAATGACAATTTTTCATTTAATTTGCAAAATTCTGTAAATTTATCAAAAAATGATAGTAAATTAGGATTTTTTTTTCTGTGAATTGAAGCTTCCCCTACTGGCTGTTGCAACATTTACAGCAATATAAACAATGTAAATTGGAACATCTATTCATCCTGTTATCCATCAGGCATAAAGGGAAGAGCTGCTCTGCCATCCTGTCATCCAAAAAGTAAGTAACTTTCTCAACGTTGGCACAGTTTCTGGAAGAAGTTGCATTAGATGCCTCACTAAATCATATTTAGAAAATTTCCTTGCTGCCAGTAGAAACCTTGAATATCTTGACACTCATTCAAATTTTGTTTTGATTATTATCTCTTACCTTTCAGTGAAGAGCTGTTCTACCAGATCCTTCTCTATGACTTTGCCAATTTTGGTGCTATGAAACTCTCAGTAAGTTCTTCTCTCTTTCATCCATACTTTGCTTGAAGCAGAGGAGGGATATATTTTAAGCAATGAACTCTCATGATTTATAAAAACTCTCCTGACTGAAAGAGAATGTTGAGTTAATGGTTTGACTCATGTGGCATAGACCCCGGTGTCATTGGAAGATCTGGTGAGGCTGGGATTGTATGAAGAAACAGCAGTAGAAACAAAAGAAGGGGAAGAAGCAGATGATGAAGAAGGAACAGAATCTCTGGTGACTCGAATCACAGACATTCTCACTTCAAGAGCAGCTATGCTTGATGATTACTTTGCCTTAGAGGTGTCCCCAAACAAGGAACTTGTTTCCATCCCTCTTCTCCTCGGTGAGAGACCAAAAGAATATTCTTCAAAAAGTTGGGTTACTGTAGTCCTGTTCATTATTCAATAGAACATCAAAATCTCTATGCTTGTATACGAGAGCACAATGAAGACTTTAGGGTAGGGCCTTTAGTAGTGTTCTGTGCTGAATTCCCATACAAGATTGGCTTCTTCAGGTGGAGATTCCACTCTTTACCATCATGCAGGATTGCACATGAAAATGCTGAAATTATTCCAAATTTTCCCTTAAGTAACAATTCATAGAAGTTACAGAAGCCTATCTTGTCGTATGACTTTCAAAGTCAGTACTTCATTTTATCCACATGCACCCCGCCAGAGCAAAAGGAGCCAAACAATTCCTGATTTTTTTGAGTCAGTTGAATAGTTTTTGTTTTTGTTTGTCTGTGTGTTTTGTACATCAATTACTTTTTTACTTCTTTCCATACAAGGTCATTACTTGATTCTCCCACAAGGGACAGCATCAGAGCAAGGTGAATGCACTAGAGCCTCTTGTCCAAATTATGTAACTTCAGCTCTTGGTTGATCTCTGCATCTTAAATGCTTGTAATGAGAAATATAGTACTTTCTGCACTTGGTCAGATCTTAAGGTCATAAAAACGTACATATCCAGAGCAGCACTAATCAAGAGGATAACTCATTTATTAATATTGGTTAACTAATTTTGTTCCAAGTCAGTCTGTATTTTTTATATTAAGCACTCTCTAATACTTCCCACCACACTAGATCAATACTTGGGGATCCCAGAAGTCCCTTCTTCTAGGGCAAGGTATATCCAGCTATTCCTCATTAATTGAAATTGGGCTAGTAGATTTTTCTCTAAGTTTGTCTTCATGTTTTGGATATTTAGTACTTTTTAGTACTTTTAGTATTTACACGAGACTCCCAAAGGTGCTCCCCTAAAGTGAAACGAGTCTTAAGTTATGGAATTTTTTTTCAAGAAGACTCTAGTCGATTTTGTTCTAGGTTGCTCTATATGCTTCATCACTAGAATGACATAATCCCCAACTATGCACTTTCAGTTCTATCATTTTACAGTATTAACATCCACATTCGTATCATGAGGCATAATCCCTCATAAGTTGGACTCAGCTTCTATCTTCCTAGAAAACTATGTGCCCTGTTTGGAGGGCCTGCCCCGATATTTGGTGAGATTGGCAACAGAAGTGGACTGGAGCGCTGAGAAGCCTTGCCTTCAGGGAATCTGCCATGAAACTGCCAGTTTCTATGCCAAGGTCACTCTCTTCCATTTGCCTCTCATTCCATCATTCTCTGCTTTACACCCGTTTTACACCTGCTTAGCCCGTTTTACAGCAGCAAAGGACTCAGTTGTCACTCTTCCCTGGAGTCTGATTCAGTGCAAAATTCTCTGTTCTAATAAGGGGCTCTAATGGACCAGATAATTTCTTGGTTTTGAAAATGCTCCATCATATATTTCATGAGTAACTCTTAAAATGGTATTTTCTAAAGTAAAGTAGACTTTACCGAAGGTATTGTCAAGGGCACTCGTCAAAAAATGGGTGATAATATTATGAACAAAGAATCAACGTGAAATTTCTAATCAAACTCGAGAAAAAAACCAACTGAAGTCTTTGAAGTGTTAAAACAAGTGTACGGAGATGAGGTTATGTCCAGAGCAAAAGGTCTTTGAATGTTGTTTGAAAGCGTTTGCTTTCCTGAAGGAAGGGAAGAAGTTGAGTTTCACAGACGACCTGGACGCCCGACAACTTCAAAATCGGATGAAAACATGGAAAATGTGAGAACTCTGGTGCGAAGTGATCGTCGTCTTATTGTCAGAATGATTGCCGAAGAACTGTGTATCAATAGAGCGACAGTACGATTGATTTTAACATTTCAAAGACTTCAGTTGGTTTTTTTCCGTGTTTGGTTAGAAATTTCACGTTGATTCTTTGTTCATAATATTATCACCCATTTTTTTTTACAAGTGCCCCTAACACTACCTAAGGTAAAGTGGTACTGCTCTGCAATACTAGAAGTATCACTAGAAGTATCACGACAAGTTTGTTACTACAGAGACTTAAGACATGCACTGACAGGTTACAGCAATCGCCATCAACCCAGTGTTGCCACACGCATGACAGTGTTGTCAGTCTCGTTATTTTATTGTCAGACCTCGTATGTCTCTGATGGGGATACTCTTGATGCCGTTTTGGTCAAAGACCTTCCAGACTTGTCTACCAGCCATAAAAATGACACCTTTCAGATTGATGACGGCTAAACCAACGCGATACCCCGATTATCGAAACCCCCGATTATGTTGATAACGATCGATATCAATCGTCGATATGGAGGGGTACGATCACTTGTTCGCAACGAATCTTGGTGACGTATGGGCTCATTGAAGTGCTCTGCGCAGCACCCTCCATCATCCATGTAATGACGAACATGTTGAACCATTTCCGGGTGTCATTCGTTGTGGATTTTGCAAGGACATCTTGCGAAAGGCTGTAAAACGAATGCGAGAAACTTGGACTAATCGATCGGTTGATCGATCATGAAGGGGGAAATGGGAACTCATGTTTTGTGTACTTTTACTGTAATTTTCGCCATGTATTGAGGCAAAAGACGAAATGAGATTTAAAAAAAAAGGCATTCCTCACCTGCTGTCACAGTATAGCTGCTGTGCGATAAGAGGAGACTGGTGGAGGAAGTGGGACTTCCCTTACGTCTTTAGCCAGCTTCCGCTATCGTTTGCGGATGTGTATACTCAACACCCTTCTCTGGGGATTTCCTTCTCTCGCGTCTGCAGCGTGCATTCAAGCGATGGGGACGAGGACGCGATTATGCCACCGCGTTCCTCGGAAGAACTGCTGCTAAACCTTATCGAGTCTCGAACTGAAACCCCCGAACCACGATGAATCTCTTACGGTGAATTCGAATCGACGTCGTGCGTTTCGGTGGATGTACGTAACGAAATTTTGGAAAGCTAAACCTTGAATGCATCGAAACGAAGAATGTACCACGACGGCGAACGACGTGAAACGTAGAAGAGGAAAAATATATGAAAGAACGGGGGAATAAGCTGAAAACGTACGTGGGGTGATCAAAAAGTTCTAAACCTGAGACACTTCCAGTTGTAATGCACCTATTTTACTTTCAACATGAAAAGCCGGATGCCTTTGATGGTGACTGGAAAATTTCATATTTGTCAATTAAAGGTAGCTTCTATGAATTTTTTCAATGTTATACCAAAGGGTCTGCTGAAGGGGTATAAAAAGTGACATGAATGCTGTGAAGAATTTTCTAGCTTCTTAGAAGTCGATCTCCCAGCAGATCTTTCAGCAGCTAAGAAGATTGAGTCCTACTGGTACTTCTGCGAAAGATCTCCAGGGAGATCGATTCCTGCATGCATGCATGCATTATGTTGGAAGTATTCCTTTACATTATAGGCTTCCATGGGAAAAACACACATTCACTTTGAAGACAGTAATAAGTGCAAAGTTATACACGATTCCATCGCCCTGCATAATCAGCCCTTTCAACTTCTGTCGGAGAATTTCGGTCACTTCATGCTGACATTTAACCAAGAGTCAGGATGTCGGCGAAAATCCTCTCTTGTTAGAATTGCAGAATGATCCAACATAGAGTTGACTTGAAATCACGTAATTTGTCGTTTGGTAGCCCTTTTCCCTCCTTGCCGCATATCGGAAATGTCGACGGTGCATCGTCGCGTCATCAGAACGCGGCCTGTGTGAGAGGCCCAAAGATGAATGTTTTCGATGGGAGTCCGTCATTAAGCTTACACCGTCTAGTATACTTCGAGCAAGCACCCTGCTTTGTTTCATCCGTGAAGATATCTAACCTCTTCATGTTGCTCTTCACGGAAGAGAGCAGGAAGAACGTCTTCGTGTAATGCGTTCCACCCATGCACTTTTCGACGAGGAACCAAAAGTTATTCTGCGGCATGGGTTGTACTCGTGGTTATGTAAGTTAGCCGATTCCCCCTCGTTCTGTTGTTGGCTTCCAGATGTGCAATTGTTGGCTTCCACTCCCCTCGTCATGGAAGCCTTTAGCCACTTCCCTCCGCTCGCATTCCACGCCTGGTAGCTTTATACGCGGTGAGAGGAAGTAAGCGTTAATGATGTTAAGTGTCTGGATGAATTACCCCGTTAACTCCTCTCTTCCACTCGCCCAGCCCGATTGCGTGTAAACGCCGCTCGTATCAATGTCTCCGTACCCCTCTCATTAATTTTAGTTTCCCTTCTCTTTACCCTCCGGCGCCATTAAATCCCCTGTATTTGCAGCTTCCAAAATAGAACAGCATGGTGTAGCCCTTTCGCGTACCATAGGAAGTTTTTGATTATTTTATGTAGATTTCGCACACATTTTCGTTCACGAGGCTTTTCCTGTTGCAGGGGAATTCACCCTGACGTTGTGCACTCAATAGTAACCATAGAAACCAATTCATTTTCTAATTATGGCTGATGTCATGAAAAACAGCTTAACTCCTTTGCTACCAATGATGACTATGTGTCGTCATGCTAGATATAACTGATCCGTACCTATGACGGAGAATGCTTTAGCGTTTTCTTCACTAGCCGCGTGACCCAATTGTTGTCGCGCAGCAAAAAATTTTCTTGGGTTGTTGAGAGATAGTGCAACGTGTTGCTTCCCATAAAATAAAATAACGAAACGAAAATCTGAAATTCGCAAAAGAGGAAACTGTTTTGTCGCATGGCGCAGTCATGTCAAGAAGCAGATTTCGCCGTCAAGACCAAAAGATATCGATTAAATTCTAGATTCCGGAAATATCGACTTTAGAAGAGATGGGGACGATTATCGTAGCGCTTCGCTTCAGGGCCTAAGAAAGAAGTAACAGATTGGGTCTCTCGGGAATGGTCTCAAAATGACTAGGATCCGATTGGGCATGAATTTACCGCAGTACCAGGTATGAAGGACAGTGTGAAGCTTGATGCAAATTGCGAGGCAGTGAATTACTTTTTGCATTTCTTGGGCTCGATGCCACTGCTAATTTCCGAGGAGACAAACTAGGATGCGGGGCAGAAACTTAATGACCAACCCGCAAAAAAGTCAGTATGATGACAAGTGGTTACCTATACCCAGCTGAAAAAAAAACTAATTTTAACTCATATGAGTTCTCATGATCTCTTGAGGTTTTTTGAGCTTTGTTTTTTCACGAAAAAAATTCTCCCTGAAAAGTGTTTTGGGAGCGGAAATCGGTAGCGAAGGGGTTAGATTCGAGGCTGATATGCATATCGGGTGAGATTATGAATGCTTTTTGGCAAAAAATAACCTGGAAAAACGAGCATAAAATAATGCGCACTTCTTCCTGGCCATCGAATGCCATAAAAAGCCTTATGTGATTAGTGATATGACATTAGTGATTCTGCTACGTACAGCTAGGGTGTTGTGCTTGCGAGTTCCTCGTCGTTGGCGAGGAAATCTCTTTTCCCTTTCGCCTACCTAACCTTGCCCCCACTGAACGCCTTCAAGTAATCATTGTTATTATGGCCTGAGTAAGAAACGTCTCTTAAAAAAAACGAAGTATTCAACGGTATTGACTCCAGGTCTTGCTCCGTAAAAGGAGCGGAATTACCGTTATTGTTGTAGTGCAAGTGCTGGTGATAAGATTGATAGAGACTTGTGTGAAACGCGCCGCAACCCTCTTCTGCTTCTGCAACCTGCTTCTTATAGGGTGAGGCCATCGGCACAAAAAGGAAGTTACCGGTATTCTCTCAGGATCCCCGTTCCTTCTTCAGGTCACTTGTCATCCCGGAGGATTGTATAAGTAGAAAAGACTCTAGTCGATATTTAGTTCCCTTTCTAAATAGGCCCGTAGTACCCTCTCTCAATCTGGCTCCGGAAACATAACTTCTGGACGAATGGAACGACTCCATGAATGAGTTGTAGATACTCTCATCACTCTCCCCAGTCTTGCATAACGGTTTTGAACTTTAGAGTGCACTCATAAATACAGCAGCTGCTTCGTGCAACCATCTGCTTGGTATTCATAGCTGACACCTAGTGGCTGTTCAACCTCCCCCGGTTGTTGAGTCCGATGCATTGGGTTTAGGGAACGTTACTCATAGCCCGGAGCACAGCTAACTAGCCAGGGAATTCACTTCTTGGTGGCTGCATCCTTTTCCCCACGCTCACTTGGGGTTTACCATCTTACGAGCCTCCCATTCCTAAATTCCGTAAATGTCAGGATCATATGGAGCATAGCAGGCTCTGAAAGCGGTTCATATTGCAATCGTCCTCCAATTTTCGCTATTACCGCTACTGGCATTGAAAATTAATTTCATCACATCCAAGGATGGATTCATTCAAGGCTAGATTTGTGTATCGATTACAATTAATTTTTATTTATTTATTTACCGGTATTGAAACAGTTGTCAGTTGAATAGGGTGCTGGAATTTGGCATCTCAATAACTGTTTGTCCTTGTCTTGGGGGTGAGAATAGCAGCCCGCAAGCATTAAATATCTTGCCATAGTCTTGAGCCGAGCTTCCTCTTCAACTCCTGGTTGCATAATGTCTACATTCGTGGTTCGTGATCACTTGCTGAAATTTTATTTATAGATACCACGTGGCAAAGGTCCATGAACATGATGTCCTTACCCGAATGGACATAACTTAAAAAAGAAAATCGCAGATGGCCATCTGTAGAGTCTTTTGCATATCCATTTACGATATGTCATTGTCCACAAACGCAAACGCGATGCAACAAAGGGTTAATGTTTCAAGGTGAAAGTGTTTGAGAGGAGCCTCACACCATGCAGAGCGTGTCTGCTTCAATGCGTCACATTCTTCCTGTGCCTGTTCCAGATGAAAAAAGAGAACTGGGAATGGACGACGGAGCACGTAGTGTATCCAGCCATGCGCCAGATGCTGTCTCCTCCCAAGAGCTTTGCTTCCGATGCCACCTTCATCCAAGTCGCTCATCTTCCCGATCTCTATCGAGTCTTCGAACGATGTTGAGTCTCATCCATAATTTATTATCGTTCGTGTTTGTCAAATGCAGGATTCAAGTACAAACCGTTCAACAATATCACTTGGAAGAGCAGTGTTTTCTCTCGCGCTGGTTGCATGAACAACGAAAACACGGACAAAACACGGGGGAAAAATAAAACAATGAAGTATGCAAAAGAGATTGCACAGACACGCACTCAGTCGTGGAAATGCGCTCCATTAAAGCCTCGGTTTGCAGGAGAAGTGGCTTCCAATGTTTTTAAGTTATTCTTTTTCTACAATATCACATGAGATGTGAGATGGAGAGAGGCAGTCAAGGATCAACAAAAGAGATTTGGATGTAGCGCACTCCTTTGGTGACAGGCAAGCCCTCGTGGAGGTGCGTCAATCTACCAGGGTGCATGAGCATCCAGCCCCGTTTCGTCGCTCGGATACTACAGTTGTAGCGCAGAAACTGACAGCCTCCACCCTACGAAATATGACAGAGAAGAGATGGAAAAATAGGCAAAGACAGAGATACAGAGAAACCATTCGACTACATCTACTCCACTCGAGCACTCCAAAGGTTATTTACTTCGATAATACTGTCTAATACTGTACTGTGCATTGTATTCACAAAAGAGGAAATATCTACGCTATCATGCGAGATTCACGATACTACATAGGCTTGGCGGGAGAAGTCAGGAGGTTTCCAGTAATCAAGGGGATCTTCTTCGGAATAATCCTCTTCTTCCTCTCGAGTTAGGTTGAGAGAGAAGGAAGAATTAGAAGGGGAAGAAGAATTAGTAGGGGAGGAATAATTTGCAGGGGAAGAAGGACCAGAAGAGGATGAGGAGGAAGAGGAGGTAGGATAGAATACTTGAGAGACAAGGTCATTGTGATCTTCGCATCCATCTCCGCACGTCTCCAGTTCGGATTCGTCTGGGTCCACAAAGGACACCAAGATGTACCGGGTCCCATTTGTGACGGGCAGTCCTTCGTGGAGATGCGTCAGTCCTCCCGGGTGCATGATAAGCCAGCCGAGCTTTGTGTCATTCACGCTGCAGTCGTAGCGGGGGAACCGACATCCCCCTCCCTGGCAATTCATTCATGCAGACACTGATTCATTCCATCAAAAGTACTGCACAGTGATCCCAGCCTAGTCACAACCGATCGCAGTCAGCCGTCACGACCGAAGTCATCCTTGCCCAATGCACTCAGTGCTTCATGCCATCAACAGCAATTCACAACTAGATGCACAGGCACGTAATTTCGGGAAGGCAGGGAGGGCAAACCCTACCCATAGAGGGACCCATTATTCCAGCTTAAGAAGCAAAATCAATGGTAGGGAAGTTTTTCCCTTGAATGCAATAGTGAAAAACGCCTCTGTCTGACACCTACCTTCAATCACGATGTGCCTTACTGCATTTGAAATGTAATATTAAATGTCAGTAAAGCAGTATTATTGCTGCAGTCATTGTTCAAGACGTCATCATAGACTTTGAGGGGCTTAGAAAGGAGTGGAAAACGAGCCAGAGGAACTTACTTGGCCATAGAGATTATACACATACAAGACAGAAGTACGAGGTAAACAGACGCCCACTGAGTTTCAAAAGAGCCATTCTAGGGAACATGATGAACACTTTAGTGGTAACAGTAAGAACAAGTATACAGCAAAGGAAGGTATTATTAACCTTAGTATGGTCTCACCAGTGCTGCAAGCAGTTTCAGAAAAGCCTATATTCTTTCAAACTTGAGCTTCTATTTATTTTTGTGTGTATATATTAATACCTTGAGTACAAGAGGGATATAGGGGTGTCCAACCGGCAGCTCGCGGGTCAGATCCGACCCGCCAATTCATTTTCTCCGGCCCGCGAATTCCTCTTTAACAGTTGATTTCGGAAAATTGCTGCAAATCTCACTTGTTCGCATTAAAAATGTGGTGTCAGATTCGTTAGTGAGGCCCCCAAACACACCTGAACCAAATCATTTGATGCCCGCCAAATTGAGTTGGACACCCCTGGTATATCAGGTTCATGAACACTGACTTTGCAACTGGTATCACTGATTGTGCGATGGTATTTGGTACTATATGGTACTCATTATGAGTTCATTCAGAAAAGAGAGAGAGAAAAAAAAGAAGGAATTGGAATCAAGATTTTCTGGAGGGTTTAAGAGCATGAAGAAATGGATATATCTATATCTGAAACAATGTAGGGCTTTATAGGCATCAAAGCAGCTAAAATAATTCAGTTGTACATAGGCATAAGATGTTCTAGGATAAAGAATACCTCATTCTCATAAGTATTTTCTTGTGTTCAGCTCAAGATGCAATGAATGAATAAAACACAGGGAAGATGCTAGCATCCTAAAGATCTTATTGCTTTCCTTGGGGAAATGTGTTGTTAAAAACAAATTATTTTCCCCTTTCTGATAAAGTTGGAAGAACATGCTGTATAAACATAAAACAAAAAACTATTTCAGTCTGACATCATCGCTAAAGGCTATCCCAGACATGCTCACAAGCACACAAACATTTAGGCTATCTGGGAGCTTAAGCTATCAATGGGGATTCCAGGCAAGCAAAATAAATTTCAGCAAGACAACTCTCCACTTGAACAACTCAGTCCCCACATACAGGGTGGCCCAGAAGTAATAGGGCAGTTAGTGGTACAATCAGCAGTCACTTACAAGCAGCAGTCACAAACAGCAGTAGTCACTACAATATTTTATAATTATAATTTTATATTTTTATTATTTTTATTTTGATTATTGATTGCTTTTTATTTTAATTTCATAATCACTAATAATAAAGGTTGCAAATAAAAATTTTAGCGACTGCTGATTGTACCACTAACTGCCCTATTACTTCTGGGCCACCCTGTAGATTCAATTATAATGATGTGGCAAAAATGAGAACAAAAGGGATGAGCCAGTACACCAGAAATCTAGGCTAAGCCATGGTTCATAAGTGCAAAACATTAATGTTGAGAGTGATATTGACAAAAAAAATATGAATAAATCCCAACATATATAAGGATAGACACAAAAGACACTTTTGTCTTCACAGACAAAAGAAATTCGGCTTGAAAAATAGCACAGGGAAGAAATTGAATGTACAGGCCAAAATTGGCCTTCCATAACACTATGTAAGGCCCATTTTGGCTGATAGATTCAGCTAGCTTTATTATAAAGGGATAAAGGGGGAAGCCTCATATTGGCTTTCATTACAACAGTAATTCATGTCAGTTGCTATGAATTATTCAATGCATGTTCAGATATGATTCCCAAAAAAAAAAACTATGGGACAGGTAACAGCATCAATATGTATGAGAATCCAGTGATGACCCCAGGCCTGTTATGCCCAATCTCATGTGTAGGCAGAGGAACCCTTCTCAATGATGCCACAACTATGACAGTCTTTAATGGAGGTACCTAATATATAGTGGATTCACCAGAGAATAAATAGGCCAAAGGTTACCATAAAAGCAATCCAGCATGTGCTCACTATAATGCCTTGAATCTATGTTTTTCAATAGGTATTAATTGAAAATTACATTAGCATCATTACAGAAATGTAGATTTCATTTCACTGTGTGATCTGTTTCTCACTCTTATATAAGTCAGCTCATTGACCTCATGTAGGCCTTGTAGACCTTAAAAGTAGCATAACATTAGTTTCACAACCAAACAAAATTTGGCTACCATACCAATCCTCTCCATTGTGACCCACAATGCACAGTATGTATTCTTATACAAGTAGTTCTTGCTTCTGGATAATAATGGCACCAATTGCTGGTAGGTTCAATTATCTCAAATCTCAAAACCTATGTAGAAGATTTTTATTCCTCTTTGGAACCACCCAGCACCTGAAGAAGTAATTAGATTCCTTCTCTCAAAGGCACAAGTGCAAGTCTCTTCCTTCACATATATCTTCATTTTAAGCTGTGACAAGGAAAAGTTACTTATTTTATGTCCTTTTTTAATATGCTTCTTGCTAGAAGCATTAACCCTTTCACTGTAAAGAGCAACTTCAGTTGCCCACAGTTCTACTACCTTTTCAAATTCACTCAGCAAAAGGGTTAAACCACTTCCCTATCAATTCATTTTTGCTTCTCTTGATGCATCTGTGAATAACCCCTTAACCAGGATGGCTGCCTTTTGGTGTAAAATGTCCACTCTAATACAGTGCTCACCACCTTTAGACATCTTTGCATTTAGACAACCTGCAAAATTCTGAGTGGATGCAGGATGGTGCATGGATACTCCACATAATTAGAGATATTCTGCTAATGAGCACATGTGGCAGAAAAAAAACCTCCTGGTTAAGGGGTTGAGATCAATCCACTTAAGAATGCTAGCTACTCAGATTTGCACCCAATTATATGAAGAAGGGGAGAATGGACAGACCTGAAAGTCAACCCCAGCTCGATTGAGGGCAATGTTGATGGTGTATGTAGAGGAGTCATGGTGAGGCCGCAGGGATGGTTGCTCATCTGGCTTGTAGCGCACCACAAAGTTCATGATAGCAGTTGGCGGCTGCGTACAACAATCCCATATGCATCAGTCCCTTTGCATGTCTCATGCTCTGAAAATTCATGCAGTGCTAGGTATTTTTGTTCTCTTTTTCAAATAGTTTAATTGTAGTGGTACTGTTAGAAGTGAAGTCATTCATTCCTTTCACATGAGATAATTTTTTCCTGTATGAAAACTTTGTTGGAAGAATTTGTAAGTAAGCTTGGATAAAAAATTTTTCCTATAAAGTTTTTTCAATTCCAAGGATTGAACTAGAAAATAGCCAAAAGAAGTGCAAGGCATATATGGAATCATGCTGAAATAATTTTGCACTTGAGTGAAGGAAAACTGAAAATATTGTGCTTTCTTAATCCTCATTTTCCACATTCTAAAACAGCTAGTCACATAGTGAATGATCTGTTCACTTTTCCTCCACACAAGGGCAGGTGCAAAATATGAGCATATACATACAAGAAGAGAGGTAAAGTTCAAGCAACCAACAGAATATTGCAGTTAACACACTGAAGCCATGCAACAGCCATCCTGGCATGCAATAAACATCCACATGGAATCTCCCCCCTTCCTCTTCAAGATGAGAATTATAGTCTCAAAGTATTCCACCCAATTTTGAATAGACTGCTGTTTAAACAGTGAAGAGGATAAGGAATCTGAGGATGGGGAAGAAAGAGGAATGGGAAGGCAAAGAAGGAAGGAATATTATGTCATCCTCATAGCCTCAGAATGCTTTCGTTTAAAGGAGACAGGCATATTTGCTGAGTAAAATAAGCCTTTCCTCATTGAGAGAAACTTGCCAAACATCTTACAGGGGGACTTGCTTATAGCCACCTTCTAAGAGTGAGTCCTACGAATGAGACCAGCCCACCACCAGGTGTATGAGAAGGAAATAGGAACATGTTTTAAAAGTATCATACATCGCTCTCGTAGCCTTGAAATGCCTTCTGCACCAGGGGATACACATACTCCTTCAGGAAAAACAGCCACTGTTTCTCTAAGCCCACTTGATTCAAATGGATGTCCACAGTGGGCACATTCTCATAGCCACCCTCAATGCGAGGGTCCTAGAAAAACAAGACCAGACAACATCATGCAGACGTGCACAAAAGATTTGGGAGCATTCCTCCTACGTCATTCGTGTAGCCCTTGAAGGCCAACTCTTGCAGAGGACGAACGTACTCCCGCAGGAAGTGAAGCCACTCTTCCTCAAACCCTATCTGTTTCATGTGAATGTCCACTGTGGGTACATTCTCATAGCTCCCCTGTAAGCGAGGATCCTGCAAACACAATAATGTGTCACACGTACATCCCACAGTATTTTAAGCTGCTGCTTTTTCTTCTCGTTGGGAGATATCTGCCTCACCCAAAATCCCTTCCATGAGCCAAGACCTGCTCTCAAGTAAAAACAAATCCATAAAAGTTATTATAATAATTAATATAATAATAGATCGGGCCTGCCCCCTCCAAGAAGTCTTCATGGAGTCTCCTCTGAGTAATTAAGTCATCAGAACCTGGCTAGTTAAAAAAAAAATTCATGAATTCCTGACAAATTGAAAGAAAGATGATCAGAGTCCAAAAAAGGGTCATCACAATGTGAATAAATGGATTATGAGCTATGTCCTAATAATCCCCTCAAGAATTTACAAGTTACTACCAATTCTCCAGGCTTGCCACTCCCCCCACTCCTTATCCCGACTCAAAGTCAAAATACTCCCCTAGCCTACAAACAAGCTTGGTGCTTCTTTCTACCCTCCAAGTATTACATATACATGAGCTATATCCTGGGATGAATTGAATTTCACATCAGCATCCTCATACACCCTTCGCTTGGATTAAAAATGTATCAATCAGGATGTGTGCTGTGAAATGAGCATTTCCTGAGCACTTTGAACATAGGAACCTTAGGGAAAATATGAGCGCACAACCTGAGAATGAGTGTAACATGCGCTTTACAAAAGTCAAAGCCAAACTGGCTTTCAAGGAATCTAATTCTGGGCAGGAATGAGACTCCATTTTCTCAGGGCCTAATATCCTATCGGGAGTTTATAGATAACAACTTTAGATGAGTCTGTTTTACTGTACAAAAAAAATATGAAAGATTTATGGCACAATTTGTTCTAACTCCTGAGGGACGAAAATGACAGGGAGCCAGAGAGATGCAAGACTCACATAATTTGTACCATCAGACCATCTTCCGAAGGTCTCAAGTTCCTCGATCAGCTCCTTGGCATAACGGTCGGAGACCATAGGGAACCAAAACACGTCAGGACATGGCTAGCGAATGAGGATTGATGCTTTCAGATTCTGCAAGGAAGCCTCCTAATTTTGGGCTTCTTTTAAAATTATTTCCCTGATTTTTATGCATACCTGAGAGAGAACGGCATCTTCTTGGAGACTTTGGGAATAATTAGGATGGATATAGCGCTTTTCCCAATCCCAGCGGTTGTTGATGATCTCGAACAGCTCGTTATGAAGGTGGGTCGTCTCAAAGTTCTCTGGATCCACCAGATGCCCCCAGTCGAGGCGATTCGTCACGAACATGGAGATCCCCTAATGGGTCGATCATGCAATGAAATTGTCACCAACTTTCACCAACGACGGAGGAATGGGAAAAATGGGACGAACCTTTTCCCTGAGATTCTCGCAGAATGCCATGTCGGGATCCAGAAGGTTCTTGATGTATGACGGCTTCCTATCCTTGTCCTTGATGATGGAGCGGTGAATTATGTAAGCGGATGAGATGTAGGGAACGTTCCAGACCCCTCTGAAATGAACAAGGCCTTGGATGCCTATTGCTGTCGATTAAGAACGAGGCCCATGAAAACCCCCACCCCGAATCCATCCTCGAGTGACTCTGTTGGAATACGGGATGAAGTTTGTGTGGCTTTGTCTGGGATTGCTGTTGTCATTGCCCCTGCTGGAATGGGGGGGATGTGTCCCCCAACGACGGGGGGGGATGCGGGGGCGATCCCGTAAGACGTTCTCGCGATTGCCCATCTTCTACACGTCTCCTGAAAGCTCCAGCTACTACAACCATCCTGATGCAAGTTCTTCCCCGTCACTACCATAAACCACTTGAGTTCCCCCCGAAACCAATCAGAATTAAGATAAAAGAGAACAAGTAATCCGTAGTAACCGTTAAAGGTAACACCTCTCCAGAAAGGTAAAGAGGCCCCTCCCAATCCCATTTATTCCCTTTCCAATCGCTCATTCGAGATTATAATTTCTTTTTTCGTGAATACAGGGGGCGAAAATTATTTCATCTTCTCATTTTGAGTCAGAGTACATGCTCGGCAGGAAGATCGTGTTCCTGTGTGTTTCCAAGGGGAATCCCAGGCCCAGAATCACATGGCTTAAGGACGGCGTTGAGCTCTATGCGCACACTTTCTTTCATGTGAGTCGCAATAACCCCATCACTAAGTTCCTGCAACTTTCATTCTAATGCCAGGGTTTCCACAAATCTGGAAAACCTATAAAATCCTTGGAAATAAAGAAGTGAAAAACTGCATGAACTGCTGTTCAAGAAGAAATTGAAGGAAGTCAAATATGGTCTCAGGAAGGTAGCGGCTGCGTGCGAAAATGCAAATTTAGCTCTTTAACATAATCCTGAGAAGGAACAAGAAAACCTCACAAGAGAGTCAGAAAAACTGATTCTCAGACTTTAGTGGGAACCCTATTACACAATGTCGGCCTTGGCATCGAACAAGACCATCAATTCAAACTTTACCACATACCACTTCGCATGTGCTTCAAATGAGATCTATGCTTGCAATTAATCGCGTTTTTTCCTCGAGTCTCATTCCCCTGTGGTGTTTCGTGCATTCCAACCAGGTGCACGAATGGAGAATAGAGACGGATACAGTGAAAAGCAAGATGGAGATAGACCCAGCAACTCAAAAGGATGCTGGGATTTACGAATGCCAGGCAGACAACAAATACGCAGTGGACCGCAAGGCCTTCCGGACCGATTATGCCATCAGCATCGATTAGACGGGCAGACTGACATAACAAGACACTCATCCATGGGATCCTCACTAAAAGACACTCGTACGAGAACGAGAGTGTCAACTAGTGAAAAGATGAGCGAGTCTTACCTCTTTTCTCCCTGGATGATGTCCATGTAATCGAAGGAGCGAGCGTAGAAACCATCCGACGTGAGTGCTCCCCAAAAATTACTCCAAGCTCGGTACGGCCTTATCATCAGAGGGGCCAACACGGTCCTGCAAATCGATTCGTCATCGCATCAAGTGCCGTGTCAAATCGATATCCCTTTATTTGTCTGTGTCAGTTGAGGAAGCAAAGATGATACCTGCTCCTTCCCACGTCATTGCTTTTTTTAATGCTAAAATGTTCAATTGGAAATGTACCGGTTTTGCTCGATGAGGAGGCGGAGAGCGTAAGGATTGTCCAGATGAGCAGTGGATTCGATGCTCAACACCCATTCGCAGTCCTTCTTCACTGCATGCTCCCTGCAATTGAAAAGCATCGGCTTCACAGTCACGCACTCATTATTTCCACCACATGTTCATGCACACTGGAGGGGTGAGGGGCTTTGCGAAACTCAAACAATTCTATGGAAGAATGGTCTAAGAGCATAAGGGCTCAAACATGGGTCGATTATGATGGGATTGCAATTGAGCAACGATTACGATTAAAGTTCACGAATGAATTTCGATTCTGGTTTCGCTAAATATTAGGCACAAATTTTTTCTATTACGATGATGATTACTTTTAGCTAATACTCTATCGAATTATGATTGAAGGACAACTCTATGACCAGGCTACCGTAAACATTTTGTAATCATCGCATAAATGCAAAAAAATAAGAGAAAAACCATAGAATTTACGGGGCAAACGAATCAATGAATGAAGCACCATGAGACATGCGACAACTCAAAGGCCGTGAAACATTGAAAAACGTTCCGTTTCAGGAATGAAGCCTGGACTGACATTTGAAGAATAGCCCAAGAAAGAACAAGCGGCGGCATCCTCTCTCGCCTCACTTCCACCATTGGGCACCTATCGCGGCATTTCAGTTAAATTGATCTGATACGCCGCATATGGAAGATGGGACGAGTCGATTGCAATTGTCGAAGTCATCGATTACGATAACAGAATAACTAAGACTGTATACTATAAGGAGGGCGCCTTGATACATATAAATCGATACCATATCAAAACTTTTGGCTGTACTTAGCATGAGATGCGAAAGTTTCATGTTGCGATTATGATAGCAATTAATACGGCGATAATTCTGATTGATTAAAAGTAACTACTGTATTATCTGGTGTAATCTATTGCGGTTAGAATCGTAATCGATCCAACTCTATTTCGATATTTAGATTCCATTAAATGGGTCTGATGATCAGGTATCAAGTGCTCTACCATGGAACCACCCCAGAGCCTGAGAACGTCTATCAATCGACAGGACTTGAGTTATTCAGTGAGCACCAGGGTTAGCAGAAATCATGAGCTTTAAAATGATTTAATGAAAAAGGATTCTTTATAATCGGATCTTGAATTTTAAAAAAGTCTATTAACACAGCCCTTTTCTTGGAATTTCTATTATCCATTTTGCTTGGGTGAATACTATGGTTTCGCTAACAATTCATGTATGCACGTGGTGCATAAAAAAAAAGTCCATCTTCGTGCATACTGATCCAGTCCCTGACATTCTGTGGTCTTTTTCTGCCGTTGATCATAGGAGGGAATTTGGTCCCAGGCCCTCCCATCCCACTCAATCCCACCCATTTCCCAGTATTGTTCTGATCATCTCTGGTCCCATAAAAAAAATTGCTAGTAATTGGAAAATACTTGAAGAGCCGCAACATCAGCATTGAATAGCGTAGACATTTGAAAGATATCCCGCGTATATATTTTTAAAATTAAATTAAATTAAGAAAAGCATAGAAACAAAAAAAGCAGATAGTATGGCAAGGATGCAGGCTACAGTATACAGCAGAGCAAACCAAAAATTTGGTATCAGAGAAATTCTGAATTTCTTCATTTTCTTTTCTGAACCAAACCATCTTCAAAGTATACCAACATATTTATTTTCATTTTCAGTCTGGTGTTATATCTGTAACTTTGGATGTGTCCATATCAAAATTCACATTTTTTCCCTATGTATTTCATCTTTTCATTATTGCTAATAACCAGTTTAGCATTTGATTCAAGAAATTTATGTTGTTGCCCTATAATGAAAGCTTTTGGATGAATGACCAACCAATCATATTGATGCTTTTGCATAAACTCTCATCAGTCAATGCCTCAACCATGAGTCAAATGTGAGCACTTCTCAATTGAGCCTTTTTCATCCCAGTGGCAAGGTAACAGTCTCAATGTGTAAGCCAGAATTGAGTCACCGTCACACAAGAGAGAGTTTTCCGTTATGGGGATCTCAGATCATTTCTGATTGTATGTGATTCCCTTCTGGATTAACTCACCCAACCTGGACTAATTGGAATGAGGACATTAAAGCCAAAGAAACAGGAAAGAGAAAGGAGACTAGTTGCATACATGGCAAGGTTGTGTGCATGCCACTCCTTGATGTTATCTAAGGCATGAATGAGCTTGACACTTGCATAAGCAGGGTCTCTCTCTTGATCCACAAATTCCTTCACATCCTTCTCATGGAACTCCGCCTGGACAGCAATGTGCTACTCATCCATCATATCAGAGATCCCTTCAGTGTTGTCCAAGTACTTGATATCTCACATGTTTTGTGATTAAATTAAATGAAGAAACCAAAGTATTCTAATTCTGCAGTGAAAAAGTTAAAATATGCATGCAATGACCTTAGAACAAATATAATTAAGCGAAATGAGAAATTATTGTAAATTAAGTTCCATAAAAGGTGTAGGTAATAAGAATGACAAGAGTCTAAAAAGCCCTAGTTTCAGTTTCAAGAATTGAAAGTTTTTCTTTGAAAATATATTATTAAATGTAAGAAATACTGTACATGCTGAAACATGATAATTGTAAATATTTTTAAGAAATAGAATTGGACAACACTGAAAGCAGCCATGTGTAAATGGTGGAGACAAAGGAGATGAACATACAGCATTATGGATGAAGAGATGAATTTTGGACTTGGGATACACAAGTCCCTCGATGCGGTTCAAGAATTCTTCAAAGAAGGGAGTTGCTTGTTCAATGAAGATTGCAATCAGAACCTGAGGCCACTCCTTTTCCTGTCACACAACAACCATAAAGTTTTCAAATCCCTCAAACTGAGAGGACTTTGGCAATTCCAGTATTTCTGACAAAATACAAACGAAAGTAAGCTTCATTATTATTTAGCAACTACCACAACTTTCATCGAAATTATAATGTTTTTATCTATAAAGTGGTATAAGAAAAAATCCAAGCCTCTAGTAATGGGCACATTGGATCCTGCAAACATGCATTAAGTTATGTGATATCATAACACTTTTACAGAAATCATGTAACCATAGTAAATTATTGTTTCATCCTTTAAAAATGACAGACAGCTGTGTCTAAGAGCATTAACAATCATATTTTGGCTGGTCACAATAGCAAAAGTAATTGAATAATTGCCATGAAGCAAGAGGCAACTGAGCAAGACTGCTTTGAGAATGAAATGTGGAGGTACACAACGGACATCTTTGTGTTCAAGGTCGATCATGTTCTCCTTGCACTCGAGGCAACCGTCCTGTGGATTCCATGCCTTGGCGAGGTAATTGCCCAGTGAATTGAGGGACACCTTGCTTGGCCCATTTCCATGGACAACCAACGGCACCGTCCCATATGCCGTATTCTGCAGGTACGCCTCCTTCCCCCGGAAGAGCAACTCCACTTCTCCTGTGAGCGAATGCATCACAAATTTCATACTTTCAATTCTTGAACATTATGGAACTCATTGTTTCGACTCGAGAAGCTTTCACATGCATCTTTGTCACTGCGGTTACTTTCGGTTATTTAAATTATATTTCAATTCAGTTTAGTATGAAGGCCGACAGATAGGATGTCTGTTTCTGAAATACACACCAATCAAGATAAATACGTGCGATTCAAGTGAATTCAAGGCACCAGATGTGCATTTTTCACTCATGGCAGCAATTTTGGTGCTTTAACTTTAATTGATTTCACAGGTTCAGTTTAGGCACGCCGATATTCCACGATTTTGCTCATGTTTCCTCAAGATCCACTGCTTTAAGCCCTGTCATCCCGATGATATAGTAAACGAATAGAAGCAATTATCCCCAGTATAACATAGAGTTCGTCATTAAGAGACATTCACGGAGATTCCATACCGAGGGCTCCATTGAGGTTCTGAAAGATGTGGCTCTGGTGATCCAACTTCATGCCGTATTTCGCTCTCTTCTTCTCGTCCAAGTAAATGAGCGTGTAAAAGAGCTGATCGTCATCGTCATCCTTCAACGATTCCCCTTCCGAAAGCATGTCGTACAGGTCCTTCGCATACCCGATGAACCCTGACGGCATATCATGGGTTCAATGCCAAGGTGAAGTAGGAAAACTATTCTAACAGAATGGAGTCGTTGCCCTGAGGCTTGGTACAGTTACCTGCAGTCATGGTCTACGATCTTAGCAACAGGTGAGCAAATATAAATCTTTCCATGATTTATGTCTGATTAAAATCTAATCGTGAAAGTTCATAAAGATAATACGTCCGAAGAGAAAGCAAAACCGTCTTAGATACGGCCTGTTGCGTAATTATCACGATATCGTTACTGAATTTTAAGGTTATACGGGGCAATATATGCCTATTGTCTTCTAGTCGTGGAGCGGCGACTCGGTGCCTGAAAAACCGATACATTATGATGCTGCAGTTCTCGCCAGACATGAGGGCTCCTTCGAAAACCGTCACGAAGATGTTGAGGTTGTGGAAAATCTCACCACCAGAGTTGAGGAACCTCTTCCCGTTCTCGACGGCGGGGTATTTGGGGATGAGCGTATCATCGGGCCAACAGAAGGCCTCGGCAGAGAAGAGCACCCTCGCCCCACTCGCCTCGAACTCTTTCTTCACCTGCTCTGGGCTCCCCAGCAGTACCACATCGTAGCTGCGCGGTAATCATCAGAATAAATCAGGATTACTGATCACAGGAAATCTTCAATCAGAAATCATTTATCGTCGAGAATTCACAATTCGAATGATTGACCAATGCGCTTCATTTTCAAGGAATCAATATGACGCCGTGGAACAAGAAAATGTTGAATCTGAAGTGGCACCATCTGTACCCTCTAACCATGAAAAAAAAAACAGTGAAGGATCATTGCAGTCCTAAAGCAGCAATGCACGAGGATTGAACTGATTACTCGGTATAGGATGTAAGCCTTGAGTAGTGTGACTAGCGTTTAATGAACAGGTCCAATGTCTTCCCTTTTTTTTATTTACAGAACCCGTATCTCTCCAAAGACTTATTTCAGTATATCCTTTACAGATGCTCGTTCGCTAACATAAGCATCCTCTATTATGCAATGTTTGTGAGCATGGGTTTTCCGTGGGCGTCGATACACCTATACCTCAGCATAGATGAGAATGGAATAGACGAAAAATAACATTTCTAACCTGTCAGTGAACATGACGATCTTCTTAGGGTCATCCTTCCACTTTTGCATGGCATTGCGGATTATGTGGATTTTCTGAGCACCCCCCGGACTTCTCATGACATCCCCACCCTTCCATTCTTCACCCATGCCAAGGATCTGCGGTTTAGAGAATTTAAACAAAAAATACGTATATTAGCTCACTTTTGCGATCACTCCAGCAGTAATATTTTAGGGAAGAGCTGAATACTTTTACAAATACCTTCCTTCCCACGGCCAATACTTTAAAATATTGAATACGGTTTGATTTACCATAGTTAACTCCAAGGAAGATTTTCTTCTCTGTGATAGCATATTTAACTGGAATGCCGCTCCGATCGCGTGTAAAATGGAGGTTTACACAGCAGAATTTAGATTTCAATGCGTTCAATTATCGGCAGAGCCATGATGAAGGTCAACGAGCACCAGAAGAGACACATTGACCTTCTTTTCGAAGAAAGGGAGAAAAAAAGGCCACCATTTCTCCTACAGGAAAATAACAAGGTACTGGGGGAAAGGGGGTTAAAATCGGGTGAGAAGGATTATTGAGGCATGACGAAGTGGGTTTGTCAGACTCGCATTCACATTCGCCGTCATCCGTACCTTCCGGCCTTTGGAAAGGAATCTGTTTGCGGTCAGTGGCACTCCGTAGTCCAAAATCCCTCTGTGATAAAAGATTTAGGGATGCACTTTTCGCAGATGAGTATTTCATTCGGGTAAAGTCTATCTTCGTGAGGATCTGACATCTGGCTTGAAGTAGCACTCAACGAGGGCATCTCGCTCGAGATGTCTGGGCATATTAAGTCGAATATGTCCGATTTGATACTGCGACTCGTAGCAATGACGAAGTGTATGACGTAGCATAGTTTTAGGGTTCTGGGAGGGCATGCTGGCCTAATTAGATCGATTCGACCTGAACCGCGGGGCATATAGGGTCTAAATTCCTGAGATCTCTGTAGAGTCAAGGAAATTTCCTTTAATAGGATGCCGGCTTCTGGATTGTGGACATTGACAGACTCGAAATCGCCAGAACATATCTCGCATCCTTCCTGTTGGACTAACTCCTTTTGTAAACTCCTGTTTTGCACTATTACCCCTCCTTGCTCACGTGCGGCGTCAGAGTTCTAAAATGAAATAAAACTAAATATGATCTGAAGATTCAGTTTTGTTGTTGGTCGGACCGGTCTCTGATGTTCGATTGAGAATCGGGTTTTGGATCGAGTGCAATCGGACTGGGTGACTAAAATCCGGTCCATTAGGGCACTACAAGAACGTCGTGGGGCGAGAAGTCCCTGGAATCCATCAGAGGGGGAAATGCTAACCACCCCTGTGGCAGTACGTGCTTTCACGCCATGGCGGGCTCTTCGCGTTGTAAACAAATGAGGGAGGAAGGATGAAAGAAGGTCGACATTTCCCAGACACGCAAGGTCTGCCAGACGCTCTCAACCATCTTCCTATATCTCAACCTTCTTCCTCATACCTCGATCTCATAAACACAGCATACGTTGTAAACCGATGGGTTCTTTGCAGACGAGCCAACATCTGGCGACACGATTCCATTATTGTCAATTATTGCATAGGTGAGGTGGGGAAGAAAGGTCCACTAGTATTCTCAGATTGATTTGTCTCGGAAGTCCCAGAAGCACCAGACGAGGACTGTCACATTTCCTTCATCCTACAGCGCAGTCCTGTAGTACTGCTATGACAGTGTCCCGTAAAATATGTAACAGGAGCAGCTCTACACCAGACAGACAGAGGTCAATGAAGGACGCTTATATTTCCAGTCTCTGGTTCTGTAACTCTGTTTATGAACACAGGACGAGTATTTTTATCCAGCAGCAGACAGCTGCTAGTGAATACGACGACTTCGCTAAGTTGCGTAACGTCCTTCATTACGCCACCACCACTGATCCATCGTAGTTGATGACGTCATCAGCTAAACACAGCAGTACTCGGCACTCCTGAAAAAAAGCTAAATAATGCTGGTGGTGCAGAGTTATAATTCTCACTGAGAGACTGTTTCTCATCGTCAAGGCAGCTGCCCTTTCAACTAAGAAACGCTCGCCCTTCACGTTTCTGAACAAGATTTTCCACGTCCTCGTGACCAGACAGAACTAAGAGCACTCATGCGCAATCGTGAAGCGATCCATCTTTTTTCTTTAGACGACCAGTGACGTCATCTATGGGTGGAACCCATGGAAAGAACTTAATAATAACGTAGAAAAAACGATCACGGTGGGGATGGATGGTGACAAACCTGGACGTTCGAGTGGCCGTACACGTCGGCAGAACGAATGAATCGAAGGAATCCCGGTGTCCTCTCTGTCGCCACCGTCACCAACACGAAATCCTCATTGCCCTCTCCTTCACCTGCAAAGCGGATCACCATCCAAAAGAAGATGAAAACAGTTTCGCTATGGTCACGTAAGCTTCTTTCGTTGCGTAATAAGGGAGTAATTTATATGCAATCATACACATCGAAGGATTTTCCTCGTCATTCATATACAATCATTATTTAACCATTTTAAATAATTTAATTATCAATTAATAGTTTATTCATTTTCATTACGTGTTTTCCATGCAATGCAATGAACTCGGATTAACTTCGCAGACTTCCGAATTCACTTCATACCCAGTACGAATACATTGATTGTAAACCCTGAAGTCATTCCTAAATACTACGAAGTGAGACCGAAAATTTAGGAAAACATTTCCAATGGTCCATCCTCTCTGCATCGCTCAAACTCCAAAATCCTAAACTGGTTTAATTATTTCCGAAAGACAAAATGTGACGTTTACTCCATTAGATGTCTCTGGTGGGACAATGGTGACTTCGTCCGAGCTTTCTTGAAAATCGACACCTGTCCATTTTTTAATATATAGGAATTCTGATTTTAAGGCAAATATCTGCTTTATAGCAGGTCAAGAGCCTACTGCTTAGCCAGCAGATCCAAAAGTCCTAAAAAATCCTATTTAAAAAATATTGCTCGTAAAAATGCCTAGTGTGAAGGCGAGTACTAATCTCCAGCACACATGCCACTTTATATTTCATGCCAAATGAAATATTTTTTCTTGTTCATTTGACTCATTGTAGGACTCATACAACTTTGGTTTTCCATATTCAATAAAATACAAGGGAAAAACCTGGCAGCAGACTTAGCAACACTTTCAGCCATTTTTAAGCACATATTAGCAGGCCTTTTCCTGTTGTTTTTATTGTCTGGCTAAGATTTTTTGGGCCAAAATCATAACTCTATCGATGAGTCAATACTCAACGGGATAATTTAATGAAGTAAATTTTGGTGCAGGGGACGAAGTGAGATGGGGATTGTCGCCACCCGGTATTCGACTCTGCAGTCAGCAAATGTCACATCGTCTGTTTTGGCATGAATTTTATAAAAACCAACAAGATCTGTAGCATTCCGCAGGCTTAGTTTTCCAGCGAAATCAGCGTAATTTCTTTAAATTATTGCCTAACTCTGAGTGAGGCAATACCGACCCACACAGAGACAGGACCTTACCAAATAAACATTGGTGATTTTTTTTCCCAAGTAGTGAATTTAGACAAAAAACTAGGTCAGCGACAGGCATTTCTTCAATATGCATAGTGTAATGGGATTTTGTCATTATTATCAAGAAAATCTGTTGCGTAAGCTGACTCAGCTGCCCCGATGAGAGAATCGGATAGTTCTGCTCCACGACTACAGATATTACATTTTTAAAAAACTATCAGCATTATAATGACAATCTTTCTTAGGCAATCACCGAATTCGACAGTCCTTGACCAGAAAGTCATTAATTTTAACGGTTGGGCGACGGAATATTCAAAGAAAAATAATCCCAGACGGAAAAACTCCGACGTAATATCCCAGGGACAAAAAATTAGACCATACGTCACTTTTGCACGGACTTTGAATCCAATTACAGTCGTCCCTCGCCACTTCGCGCTTCGACTTTCGCGGCTTCACTCTATCGCGGTTTTTTCAAATACTGTACAGTAATTTTTATTTTAATTGTAATACAGGGGTGTATATCTGATTGGAAAGAAAGTTCTCGGAATTTCTTGAATATCCAGTACAATTTTTTTCCAGAGCATGCTAGAATGTTCTGCGTGTGTTTATAAGTAGGTCGTGTCCTTCGGCATACAACCGTATATTATTACAGCCCTGGTGCTCTCCAGCCATGAACCAGCCCTACCCTCTTACTAAGGAGCAAGTTCGCCTGCTTCTTC